ACTTGTTAAAGCAAACATTAAATGGTAAATGATAAATGACCCGCACTTGTATAGTGCCTCTCAGAGTTACTGATCATAACATACAAATCTTTCAATGTAATAATTATATATATATATATATATATATATATATATATATATATATATATATATATATATATATATATATATATATATATATATATATATATATATATATATATATATATATATATGTATGTATAATTTCATTTCACTGAATTAGGCACAGATTATCCAAACATTAATAGTATTATTCATATACCATCTGGTTCATCCAACCATATGATTATTTATGATTATTTAACTCATGAGTTGTAAAAGTTCACTTTTTATTCAGAGTGTGGAATCCTGTAGAAGAGATAAGGGGAAAGCCGAGGCCTTGAAAAGAACAGTTTGTTGACAGTATGTTATCTTGTGTGTCAAGCACTGCAGAAGCCTGGACTTTAGGAGACAGGAGAGAAAATCCACCTAGATAGTGGATTTGTTCTCTCAGATGATGTTGGTCAAATATATTGGTGAAAACTGACCATTTCTGGGCCCTACATATATACCCACCTACTTTAAAAATGCATCCCTCACTTTGCACATGGAAGCAGCACATATTCAGTACAGAGACAACACAGATTTATAAACCACATTGGTGCTCCCACCAGCTGGCCGCTAGCTCTGTAGCCTGTTGAGGCTTTGCTGTTACAACAGCAGCAGCATCTGCATACATCTGACATCATGTAGTTGGCTCATATACAGCCAGGAGAAAAAGGCTTTTTAACCCTACAAGTTTCCCACTAGCAAAGACCCCATCACTCTGTAATTTCAACTGTAATTTTATTTGAACAGTGAGAGACTATATATATATATATATATATATATATATATATATATATATATATATGCATTTGATAATCTGCAACGCCTGCCTCCAGAGGGTTAAAACTTTAGTACTTGGATATTACTGATTGCTATTAAAATAATTTTTTCATTATTATTTGTTTATGTTTTTAAACATCCTTTCTGCAATTGTGAAATAATGCCTCTGTGGGACAGTGAAGACGGGACTGTCACTGACAAATCGAGCAGTTAGAGGGGGCCTGGCGAAAGCCACCAACCTGTAAGACACAGCAGGCTCAACACGAGAGGTGTGAAAGGATGAAACTTGAGAGTTACTTCTGGACATAGATCAGTGGCACCTGGTGTCCATGTGTGACACAGAATAGCCAGTAGCAGAACAGCAGAGAACTGAGAATGTATTTGACTGATGCCAGGTTTGGATCGTGAGAACACATGACTCTGAGCTTCATTTTCAATTCCTCATTGGTTCTCTCTATCTGTTTGTTAGTCTGGGAATTAAAGCCAGAACAGTGAGCAAAATGTTCCCTATGAAAAATGAGCTGGGATCCTCCTGTAAAGGCAGCATACTTGGAGGCCTTCACTCATTTGGTAGCAGTTAACTTGGTCATGGGGGTCACGTGAGTCCTCTTTGAAACCTAACATACCATACAAGTTTTATTCCTAAAGCCCACTTAAAAAACAGCATGGCAGCTGACCAAAATGCCGTACAAGAAGAATGGCGAACAGAAAAGGCTAGGTACAGATGTCAACATTGCAGTAGAGAGATACTTTAGATCACCATACTTGTAATACAGGAAGCAAAAAAAAAAAAAAAAAAAAAAAAACAGTGTATAGAATGCAGAATATAATAAAAATACAAATTTCTTACAAGTAGAGGTGAGGCATAGGAATAAAACTCATTAAATGAAAACCAGAAGGCTACAAAGTAGAAGGAAAATAAAAATTCATAGCCAACCAAAAGCAGAGTTGTAAAAGTATTAGTTCAGTATCGATTTGAATGAAGAAAGAGACAAAGCCTGCTTCACAGAGAGAGGGATTGTGTTTCTGAGTTTCAGGGTGGCAAACGAGGTCTTGCTTCCCACATGCTTTATATTTCATTTTGAGGGTGCATAATTGTAGGTGATCCGCTGACCTTGAGAAACACAGGTTTAAGGAGGAAAAAGATGGGCCAGCAGATGAGTGAGGCTTATTGCTTGGTTTGAAAAGGATTGCTTGCTTACATTCAGTTGTAGGAAGTTGTAAGCTAGCCAGTTTGTGACCTCCAAAGACAGCTCTAGCTGTGCAAGTTTGCTTCAAGGCCAGATAAATCTGACATATGTCATTGCAGACGTGGTAATTTATGCCATGCTTAGCTAAGATTGTGCCTAGGGGGAGGATACAGATGGAAAAGAGGAGAGGACCCAATATCGAGACGCAAAGGGAGGGGAGCAGTCGCTGATGTGAACTCTGAAGTATCTATCAGTCAGATAGGAGTAGAACCAGTGAAGAGGTGCTAGCTCCCACCCACAATTCCAGTCTACTCAGCAAGATGTTGTGATCGACCATATCAAATGAAATATCTAGTAGTAACCTGAAATGTTAGCGTCCTTGCCCTCTTGTCAGATTTTCTCCTTTCAATAAAGCTAAAGAGGGATATTCTTCGTTTACTGTGTTTTAATTTATCTGTGTCCGTGAGGTTGACGAGTCTGTGCCAGGTTCAGAACTCTGCCCACACCAACTTCCATTTTGTTGTCTTCCTGGCACTCGCGGAGTACAGACGCTTCTCTTTTCGCTCCCTTATCTTTTTTTCCCAAGGCTCTTTGTCCTGTCTGCCCACAGAGTGCTTCTCTGCATTTCTTCTGAAAAACCCTATTTTTAACCATGGATTTGATAAATTGGTCATTCAACGCGATTGATAAGATTTTTTCAACAATGAGGGCTTGGCCGGCTAGGGAGTGGGAGGCTGCGGGCGGGCCTGTGGGCTTGCCGCTGATGTCTCCCGGGACTCTGCCGGCTGCTGGTTGTGGCCCCCCGGGGCGATCCTCTGTGCCTCTCGAGGGGGGCGGGGGCCTTTCTGGTTGCAGTCTCCTTGGGGTTCCTGTGTTCTGGGGCAGCGCCTGGATCTCTGGGACCTGGAGCTCCCCCCGTCTCCTACGCATCTTTGGGGGACAGATCTGTGGTCCCTCACACTCTCTATTGGACGCTCCTATAGAGAAACCTTACATAAGCAAGCGCATGTACACACACAGGTGCTCACATGGTGCTCTCAAAAGTATGGGCTTGGGCACGTTAAACACAGGTCTTAAGACAATGGTGGGCACTTAATGCACTGTGATTTATTATCGCGTGATTGTTCAGTTAAACAATGTTGATTATATATTTCTTCATCAAGTTGACGCAGTGATAGCTTGATCTTGTTGTATTGTTGTTGTGTCCCTTTTTTTGTTCTTTTGCTTTTTTTCTTGTCTTTTTCTGCAGGTCTAGAAGCAGACTCTTGTTCATTATTGTTTATTTTTGTGGAACCCCCCCCCCCCACCCCTTCCCCCCTCTCTCCCCACCTTTTGTCTTTTCCTTTCTCTTTCACCTCTGACTCCGTGTCTGATTAGAATGACAAAGCATTCAAAAACAATAACAATAAAGTTTTGAGTATCAGGTGTGACATTAAAAGCAGACGCTTTGATGCTCCACCTGAGAGTAAATCTGTAAGGCTTGTTACCAGCATTCAGACATCAATTCTGTTTGCTTCACAGCCAGACAGGACACGGTAAAAATAAATAAATGAATAAATAAATGAATAAATAAATAAATAAATAAATAAATAAATAAATAAATAAATAAATAAAAAATGAAAAGATTTTTTCAACAATGAGAACAGAGCAGGGGGCTCCCACATGTCCACAGGGGACACACCCGGTGGGGTATATGTTGGATTCCTGGAAGAAATGGAAGATCATATGCCTCTCCCAGCTGTCCATTGAGGATATCGAAGATGTGTGGATATTCGGCCTGAGGATCACTGGATTTCTCCTGATTGGAGTGGGAGGATATCTGGTTTTCTGGAAATTTGGGAAGACGGGAGCGATTGGAGGGCGACCCGCACCCACGGAAAGCACCGTCCATGTGGACGCTTCACAGACTGGGACGTTACTCGAGGTGAATCATAAGCTGGACAATGTTCTAGCTGAAATACCGGTATTAGTGCGCAAAATGGATGTCATCTCGGAGAGAGTCACCAGACGGTATGGACAAGTTTATAAACCCAAAATTGGCTTCACTGAAGGACTGGAAATGATCAGTTTAAAGACTGAAGGCAGAGAGGAAAATTATCTCAGCCTGACCCAAACAAATTCTTGTTATCCGAATTTGACGCCTTGGTAGACTTGAGCGGCAACAAACCCCCACAATGGAATGCAGACAGATGCTGTGACCCCCCCCCCCCCCCCCCCTGATTGGTGGACTTCAGCCTGGCGAGGTCATCAACCTGCAGGAGTCAATGTGCTCTGCGCTTCTCGTAAGATCTCCCTCCCACCTGTGACTGTACAGTGGCTGAGCGCTGTAGATGGCTGCTCTCGCTGGGGGAAACAGGATCCCCCCCCCACCCCCCCCCCCACCCCCCGCCTTCCTATTGGAGTCTCATGTTATGTTGTGTTGTCTGAAATTTGTTGCATATCTGTTGAGGTGTTAAGGTAGCGCGACTCGGGTTGCGAATGACCACAGTCACCAATTCTTGTCATGTGTCTTGCCCATGTATGTCTGATCTCTGAATTGTGTGTACTGAAATTCTAATTTCCCTCTGGGATTAATAAAGTATTGATTGATTGATTGATTGATTGATTGATGTGTGGAGCACCATGTTTCCAGGGAGCTCAAAGCCGAAAACCGAAACCTTGGTGAGGCAATCCGCGGTCACCAACTTTGACCACAGGATGTCATTCTTACTACATTTTACACAGTACCCCTTTAAAAACAAAGCATTCTCTTCATGGTGGTTTCCTTTGATTAGACATGTTTTAGTCAAGGTCTTTGTGGTAGTTATTAGGTCACACTAGGGGAAGTGAAAGTCAACATTCCTGGTGGGTGATCACAGCAGGAGGTCAGACAGTGTGATTGCCCAAGCCCCCTCCCACCCCCTCCATGGTCCCCAGTTGAATGACCAGTTGGACAAACAGATCAGAGAGAAGCAGGACACCTCTGCTGCACGCTGAGTTCATGCAGCAGCGTCAGAGACATTCTTAGAGGATTTAGGATCTGTTCCAGGATCAGCTGGTGCTTTCTCATGTCTGACTGATCTTGTGTCACACCCTGGAGACCTTCAGCTCAGGACGACCTTATCTCCCCCCAGATAAATAACGCTGCTGTACTGGGAACGGATTACAGAAATCACCAATGTCAGGTAGGATACTTTGTCTCTAAACAAGGTTAAGCAGTGGGTTATTCTACAAATGATACGCTAGTGGACCTCTGACAGGTGGAGACGTGATGTCTCACTCACACACACACACACACACACACACACACACACACACACACACACACACACACACACACACACACACACACACACACACACACACACACACACACACACACACACACACACACACACACACACAATGCAGTTCTATATGTCTATAAACAACCACTAATGTTCCAGATCTTAGTTCCTCTTCAGCACCAAAAGACATGGGACAACTTGTTGGGCAATCTTCCAGCATGACAAATTAACTATTCAGCTTCTCTATTCTGGAGCTGATGCTAAAATAAATCATGCAGAGCACAAACGCATCATGGAAAAACTATTTTAGTTTTAACTCTTCACTCACAAAGACTCCAACCCCTTAGTCTCAATCATTTATCAAACATAACTTGTTTATTTTCTCCTGTCTGGATTTTATTATCATTCTGATTTATGATCAAATGATTTTGGGTGGAAACCCTAACCTTAACCACTTACTCATCACTCCACAAAAATACATACAATTCTGCTCTTTGTAATCAATGGAGTATATTTTAAACAATTGTACCAGAGTCTGCAACTGTATTTGATGTAGAAACAAACATTAAAAGGCACAAAATCTGAGTCTTTAAAGCTATAACAGGTCTATACATTACGGGTACATGAAACTCTTTGCACATGATCACTTTCACTCTCACACTCAAAGCTCAGAAACTCAGATATCCTGAAACGAGAGCTGCTGCTCCTCCAATGTCAAGTGTGACATCACAATAAGAGACATTTTGAAATGACTCTTTTTAGGCATGATGGATGTTTTTTTTTTTTTTTCAAAGATAGGCAGTAGATGCAAAAGCTGAGTTTTGATGAAGTTAGTCAACATTTTCCTGGTGATCAGTGATGGTACTGCAACAGACCTGGTGGGTTTTAGTTTTTATACTTTTGTGTTCTGTATTTACAACATCTGGTGGGTTAAGAACAAGCTAAAAACACAACTAACACATTCCAGTTGAATCCAATCTAAAACGTTTCCCTACTGCTGTTAGTCAGTCACAGTTAACAGGAGAATAATAAACTCTGTGTATTATATTAATGTATAAATTCATTATAGATGCAACATGTATGTATCTTCTGTGCAGAAGTTTGAATCCCCCATCTGATATGGTCAGAGCCAGACCTGTTGTGGTCCTGACTGTGTTCTGAGCAGGTCCTGGTCTGACCCTTTTACCTGCTGTTCTACCTGCTCTAGGTCAGGCCTTCGTAACCCTTGTCACCACAGACCCCTACTGCCAGGGAGCCACAACGCTGGCCAGAAGCTTGCGTCGGCATGCCACAACCCGCCGCATTGTTGTCATGGTTACACCCAACATTTCTCAGCAGTCTAGGTAGGCCCTTTATTCTCATGTGCGTGCCTCAGATGAAGTCCTACTTCATCTTAACAGATTTTCACTTTGTTCCATTTGACCCAAGTACAGAGTCCCTTTCTAACGTGTTACATTCTTCTGCAGACGGGAGCTGGACAGTGTGTTTGATGAGGTGATGACAGTAAATCTCCTGGATAGTGAAGACCAGGTCCATCTGTTCCTGCTGGGCCGCCCTGAGCTGGGCACCACTTTCACTAAGATCCACTGCTGGACTCTCACTCAGTACAGTAAATGTGTCTTCATGGATGCTGACACACTTGTGAGTATAATGAACCCAAGTTGTATGCTAAATGTTAATCTCAGGTCTTCTGTATGTAGCGTGATTAATGATTGACAGTATCATTACATATTAATTATGACCAATAAGATGTGAAGATTCCATATTGTAGTGTTAGCATACGTATGTAGTTTGGGTACTTTTAAAGCTCAATATACTACACTACATTTGACCAATGTGATGTGAAATTCTATATGAATATGGAAATTCAATCTGATTGATCTTTGAATGTTTAACCAGAAGATTTAGAATTTTTTGTTTATTCAGGGATTGTAAGACACTTCGTATTAATTCAGACAGAGTCAAGTTTATAAAAAGAAATTTATTTTCTAAACATTTAAAAACATGACAACTAGAAACACTTTATGTGATGAATGAATCTACGTGGATGGAATGTGAGGTGTGATTATGTGAATGTGACGTTATCAGAACCTTCGTATCTGGAGAAACTGAGTTCTGAGTGGGAGTGAATTTGGTCTACTTTTGTTATGGAATTATAGATTTTTCCATAACAGCCATAAACTATAGTGATGGTTTATAAAACCACATCAGACGCAATCTGTCGAGTCTACGAACCCTCTCCGAGACCCCCGTGGTAGATCCGGAATTTGTAGAAGTCCGGGACCCCAAAGGTACCGAAGTCCGTAGAAGAAAGCGCAATGCCGACTAGACGGGTCTCAAGATGTCTCCAGGTCACGACAGGTAGTTATTTGTGTCTATGAAGGACTCTTAAGGAGTCAAAGCTGGTTCAGCTTTGTACTGAAGGAACCGTTTGCGGTATCAGCCTTAGCATGCAACATGTTTTGACAGTGTCATGGATTTTATCAATATGTTTATCAATAACCCATTTCCTGTAGTGAAGAGAGAAGGAGACAATGAATAACAAGTCAAACAGTTATAACTGTGGCATCCTAGTGGTGGTCCACCCCTTCGTAGCCGGACTTCGTTGCCGTGCTAAAGCGGTTAGTTGTCGTTGATGAGCTTGCAGTGAGAAAGATGAATCCAAGATGGCCTCTCAGCAATCTTCACAGCAGTAGGAGTAATGAGGAGTACTTCGAATGGACCTCTGGCTGCACCATCTGTTTTGCTTCAAGGAACTTGCAATTACTAGTTCACGTCAGCAAGGGGCAGAGTCATGCAACACAGTGGGCATAAAACAACACAACCCAATACGCAAACTAAAAAAACCTAACAAAAGCCATAATCCGAGCAAAGAAAATTGAACATAAGAACAAAAAGTGATTTACATCACCTAGGAGTAACAGGAGAAATTGTAGTAAAAGAACTGATAGCAAAAATTGTAACCCAATGAAACCAAAAAGAATCAACTCATTAGGGAAAAAGGATGAGCTTGTCAACACCCCCAAGGTCATGTCAAAAAATAATAATATCATAGACTCTATGTGTTTGCTCTCATTATTCCAGAAGCTTCCACCTCTTCTTAATTTAACCTCTTTGCTTCTAACACTGGAAATAACTAACAAGGAAACCAGTCCTAATTATAAAAATAATATTTCAACTCCACATAGATTCAGTAAGGTAAGGGTGCTTCAGAGTACATCAGCAACATGCAATGTCACTCTACAATGCTGCTCAAATAATGTGTAAAATTTGTCAACAGGAGATAAATACTGCTAAATCAAAGCTCCATAAGTGAAATCGGACAACAGAATGATCTAAGGAAAATAAAACTCAGTACGTGTCATGGTCTGCATCTGTGTCTTCCTTCATGTGTCTCCTGATGTTTCTCCATCCCTCTTTAGATTCCCTTCTGTGTCTCATAGCGCCCTCATGTGTCCGTTGTCTGCGTCTCATTTATGTGTCTTCTGTTTGTAGCCTTTCAGGTCATCCCCAGCCCCTCCAGTTGTAGCTCCAGCCTCTTTGTCCCCAGCTCGGTGTGTGTGTGTCATTCCCCAGCTTATCGTGTGTGTGTGTGTGTGTGTGTGTGTGTGTGTGTGTGTGTATGTCCTTCTCCAGCTGTGTGTGTGTGTTCTTCTCCAGTCAGGTCCGGTGTCCTCCCCTGCTCCTTCCTGATTAGTTATTGCCTTTACCTCGTTCTCTCCCCACACACCTGCAGCTCATCTGCCTCCCATTATGCCCCAGTCTATAAAGCCCTGTCTGTTTCTCATTGTCTTGTTGGTTCATTGTTGATTGTCAGCGTGATTTGTTCTGTCAGTCTGCCCATTCCCCTGGTGTTTTTGGATCTCCTGATCATTTCCTGATTTTTGGATTTATTTTTGGACTCATCCTGCAATAAAAGGATTTTTCTTTATATCAACTCCTGCCTCGTGTCTAGGGATGGGTACCGAATTCGGTACTTTTTAAGGTACCGACCGAATTCCACAGTACCGACCGAGCACCGATTCACTTCATTTGAAACGGTGCCTCGTTTCGGTACCCGTCCTTCACAATGAGAACTTGCCTAGACAGCTGCGCATGCGCAAGAGCGTTGTGTCAACGGTCGCTGCGAGCAAGTTGTAAACAGAGCAGCATGGGTAGAAAGAACGAACACTAAAGCTTGGGTCCACTTCACTAAATGTGATGGGTAACTGGGTGATGATGAAACCAGCGACAACGATCTAAGTGAGACGTCCTCATCTTAATCTGCTCCGGTAGGTAAATAAAATGTAAGATAACGTTAGCTTGATTTGTTAGCTTCTGTGTCACTAATGGTGGTCGCTTTCTCCTCAGAACTCCGAAATTCCGACTAGAAGAACATGAACGCGCATTAAAGTTTGGCTTCACTTTACTAAATGCGACGGGTGATTGGGTGAAGATGAAACCAGTGACAACGATTTAAGTGTGAGGCATCATCGTTTAAATCTGCTCCAGCAGTTAAATAAACTGTTTAAGATAACGTAGCTTGATATGTTAGCTTCCTATGCCACCATTGTTATCATCCAATGGTGCGTTCGCTTTCTCCTCGGAAATTCTAACTTCCCAGTAGGAAAAATCAATTGAAAAAGGACGGTAAAAGGAATGAAGATACACAGTAAATTTAGTTCACAGTAAAGATGTTTGCTTCAGTTTAATTATCAGCTTATAAAACTACAAGGACGATGTTAAAATACAAACAGTTGTATGTTATTTACCGTGATATTTATCAAATATTGTTATAAATTGAGAAAAATATATATCTAATTATTAAAGAGAATTAAAATATTAAACACTCAAAAGTATCGAAAATTGGTACCGTTAAGTACTGGTGTCGATTCGTAGGTACCGGGAATTATACCGGATCGATTCAAATGTCAAAGGTACCCATCCCTACTCGTGTCATCCTGGGTATCTGCATTTTGGGTCCAAACAGTCCTCTCAACGTGACAGTATGTTAAATTGAACAACAGATTCTCCGAAGGAAAATAAAACTCATCTGTCACACAGAGACAGTGAATGATCAAAAATAAAACAACTGATGGCATTCTTAGATACACACAACCCTAAAGGTGTTTGAAAAGACGATAATCACTTCAGAAAGGGAAAAGACGTACTAAACAAAAGAAATAATTCATAATTTACAAAGGTGTACTTCGTATAAAATGGATATACTACGGGAAACAAAGAAATGCATGAGTAGGAACCCCTATTAGTTTAAAGGTCAAAGTGTCAATTTATGTCCCCCCCCCCCCCCCCAAATTACGTCCATGGCAGCGTATCTCTAAGCTCATGGTGGTGAGGAGACCAGTGGCACCAGTAGATTAGATATAAAATGTGCCACCTCATCATAAACAGGAGCTCTAGTCTTCTGTCTGACCTCATTTGTGTCTCACGTGGTATGAAGGAGTTTTGGTCTATATTTCATTATATTGCTGATTCATTTCTTTACTTTTTACAACGTCAGTTTTTCTGTCAAAATTTCCCTGCAGGTGACTGTCAGCTTCTACACTTGGATCATTTCAGAACCTTGATTCTGTTTAATGACCCAGTTTGGTCCAAACTTGAGCTGTCAGGCAGATGGAAGTGCTTTGGTATCTTTATTTATTTATTTATTTATTTATTTAACCTTTATTTATCCAGATGAGTCGATTGAGAACTCATTCTCATTTACAACGACGATCTGGCCAAGAAGCAGCAGCAACAGACACACAGTTAGCTTTACACCAAAGAAAAGCATATTTGGTCAAAAGTACAAGATAAAAATAAGATAAAACAGACATAAAGACAAAGTATTGTTCTCATTTACAATATGTACAAGCAATCAAAACAGACGTACAACAGTCTTTAAGTACTCAGAAGCACATTGATCAGAAACTATTGATTGCAATGGATTACAGAAGGTAGATAATGGTGAGCTTCAGTGATTTTTGCAGCTCATTCCAGTCGTTGGAAGCAGCAAACTGGAATGAGGAGCGGCCAAAGGAGGTGCAAGCTTTAGGAATAACCATAGAGATTAAGTTACTGGAACATAAATTGCACTGGTTGTTGGAAGTGATCAGTAATGAGTGAAGATATGAACTGATACCAATGTAACAACCTGCGGAAATGGAGTGATGGCCAGTTAACGAGTGAGTACAGATCACAATGATGAGTAGTGGAAGGGGCACCAATGATGAAACAGATGGCTGAGTGATAAATGACATCGAGTTTATGAAAAGGTCTTTTGGAAGAAGTCCTATAAATGATGTCACCGTGATCTAAGATGGCAAGAATTGTCGTTTTGACCAAGGTTTGCTTTGCAGAATGAGTAAAGGATGACCTGTTGCTATAGAAACCAATTCTTGACTTGACTTTAGAAAATAATGAATCAATGTGATATCCATGATACCATTGATTCCTGTGGTTGAAGAACCAGCCCAAACCATCAGCCCCCATCACCATGCTGACAGCTGGGGTCAGCCTTTGGTTCTAAAATGCTCTATGTTTTTCTCACAACACAGTGCCTCACATATGGGATTCCCAATGCTTTTTATGTGGGTCTGTGCTTTTCAAATAATTGATTTGATGCATTTATGTCTGCTTTTGTTTTCTAAGCATTTTTTTGCTATAAAGCAAATGTGCACAAACCCCCACTTGCTCTGAGCTGTGTCAAGCCCTGTTGAACTCCTGTCCCTATCAGGTTCTGTGTAACGTGGATGAGCTGTTCGACAGGGACGAGCTGTCGGCAGCTCCAGACCCCGGATGGCCCGACTGCTTTAACTCAGGAGTGTTCGTCTTCAGGCCATGCCTCATCACCCACAGCAGACTGCTGAACCACGCCCTGCACCGTGGCAGCTTTGATGGTAACACAAGTACATTTGGGCTAACAGACAGTTCTAACGGCTCATCTTTAGGAAGCGTTTAGAGTCTGTTATTTCTGCAAAAGGAGGATCTACCAAATATTGAGTTCATTATGCACCTGTCTAATTTTGTTCAAACTATCCTATAAACTTTGTTTCACTTCTCAAATACCACTGTGTGTGTCTCCTATTAACAGATTTTTTTATCGTAACAAACAACAATTTATAAAGGAAAATCCTGTAGATTAACAAGGCTGCCCAAAATGTTGCAACCCACTGCATTAGCATGGAGGAAGAGGAAAAATCTGACAATCCTTTAATTCCACGTTGATCAAAAATGTATAAAAGAAAAGTGTTTGGATCCATGTGTACACTCTATTTGATATATCTGGACCTATTTACGTCTGCACCATCTTTTTTTAGGGCGTTCACACAAGTCTTTGTAGATGAGGCCACTGACCTAAATTAACCTTATTTGTCAGAATGCTGAGAATTCCGACTGTTGTCTGCTGGGTTAAATATTAAAGTTGTGATGAAAGAAAAGCAGCAACGGCTAACCCGGTCAGTTAGCACCACTGTTGTCTGTTTAATAATGAAAGGAGGAGGAGCAGGTGTCTGAAGCTTCACTGCTGAGAGAAAGATTACAGCAATATACTGTAATCATGTATTGTTTTCTACTGTGTGTGTTTCTATCAGGAGGTGACCAAGGTTTATTGAACTCCTTCTTCAGCAGCTGGCCAGTAGAAGACATTTGTAAACACCTTCCGTTCATCTACAATCTCTGTGTCAACACTGTCTACAGCTACCTCCCTGCTTTCCAAGAGTTAGTGTCCCTAACTTCTCTGATTAACTGCTGATATATTACTACTTACTTAAGAGATCTTGTTCAAAGAAACACTTGGAGTTGGAAAATTAATCTAGAATGAACATATCTTCAATTCTTCAGCTAAGGAAATCTGTATAAAAGTTTCATGAAAGCAGAAATTTGTTCAATATTAAATCAATCCTGAGATGTGAAGTCCTGCGTCCTCACAGAGGAGTAACCGCTTTGTTAGAATCAAGGGTCGCCAAGTTTAGGGCCTGCTAGTCTAGGGCAGTGGCTTTTGTCTGTGCTGAGGTTATGAGGTTATCAAGTTTATATCTGTAAAAATTACATTCATGTAGTCCATGACGTTTTTTATAATTCACTTTCAATTGTGAGCATGTGCATTGGAGTTGGGGTTGGGGGTCCCTGGCTTGTCTCCGATACAGGATAGAGGATCCTCATGAAAACGATTGGGAGCCACTTGTCTAGGGCAGGGATGGGAAATACATTTTTGAAAGTGGATGAGTTTAAGTATCTTGGGGTGTTGTTCACGAGGGAGGGAAGAAGGGAGCGGGAGATTGACAGGCAGAATGGTGCTGCGTCTGCGGTGATGTGGACACTGAACTGGTCTGTTGTGGTGAAGAGAGAGCTGAGCCAGAAGACAAAGCTCTTGATTTTCTCATCCCAACCCTCACCTATGGTCATGAGCTTAGGGTAATGACCGACAGAACAAGTTCTTGGATACAAGCGGCAGAAATGAATTTCCTCCAGAGGGTGGTCAGGCCAGCCATAGGGATGTTAGGGTGAGAAGATCAAACATTCGGGTGGGACATAGAGCCGCTGCTCCTCTGCATTTATAGGAGCCAGCTGAGGTGGTTCTTGTCAGGATTCCACCTGGACGCCTTCCTGGAATGGTTTTTCGGGCATGTCCTGCCGGCAGGAGGCCCCCGGACATGTTGGAGCAATTACATCTCCAGTCTGGCCCAGGAATGCTTTGGGGTCCTGCTGGAGGAGCTGATGGAGTTGGCTGGGGAGTGGGCTGTCTGGAATACCCTACTTGAGAAGCCACTCCTGTGACCTGGACCCGGATAAGTGGAGGAAAATGAACGAACGAAAAACCTCTGGGGGCCACCCTCCATGTGTAAACCCTATTCAGGTCAAAATCACCAAGTAAAAAAAAAAAGAATCATAATTTAAAAAATTATATTAATTATAATAAAAAAAGTGTTTTCAGCATAATTAAGATAAAATATGGGCCCTTTAAAACCTCCACAGAACAAGCATGCCTAATTTCTTTTGGGAGATTGTCCCATAACAGTCCCATTTACCAGGATGTTGTGTTAAAAACAAACAAACAAACAAAAAAAAAGATTAATAAAATATTAAATTAATAAAGAATAACACTTTTTATTTTATAAATATTTTAATTTAGCAACATATTAAGCCCAGCATCTCACTGGTAAAAAGGATGAATGATAAATGACCTGCACTTGTATAGCGCCTCCCAGAGTAAGGACTCCAAAGTGCTTTACACTACAGTGTATCATTCATCCATTCACACACACATTCATACACTGGTGGGGATGAGCTACGATGTAGCCACAGCTGCCCTGGGGCGCACTGACAGAGGCGATCCTTATAGCCTGCTACTTCTGGAGTTGACGAACAGTTTAGGGACTAACAAACGACCCATAGGCCTCACTAAGGTGCTGTCAGTGTGCCCCAGGGCAGCTGTGGCTACATTGTAGCTCATCACCACTAGTGTTTGAAAGTGTGTGTGAATGGATGAATGATACACTGTAGTGTAAAGCGTTTTGGAGTCCTCTGACTGTGTCAGGCGCTATACAAGTCCGGGTCGTTATAACACAAATTAATATATTCAGGTTTACCTTTCTTCTCCTTACTTTGACACTGAGGACTTGTCAAGTGCTTTAGGGATTATTTATAACAGACTGTACCATTCACACCAACTGTTACCCACAGACTGAGGCGATGGGCATGCTGGAGCTCCACTGTTGTTTCTGCAGGTTTGGTCACAACGCAAAGATAGTCCACTTCACAGGAGCAGCGAAGCCCTGGAGCACCCAGAGGGGGGGCTGTCACTCGCACATCATGGAGAAGTTTGTTTCTCGGTGGTGGGAGGAATTACACTGGAAGGAAGACCATAAACCACCATTTGCTCCTCAGCCTAGTCCTAGGAGGCAGCAGCAGGTACACCACAAGTTACACTCCTAATAAACATTCTCACTCGTATGTTCTTGCAGAACAAAGAACATCATTTCATTCAGTCGTTTTCCTCACAAATTACCCTTACAAAAATGAAACAAGGTAGGGCAACATAACGGTAATGCTGATCTGCTCCACTCTTTGTGATCGATTAGAAAACTTCCTCATGATGTTATTGTACTTCCAGTGTTTGCAAAATAAAAATGTACCTTCATATATTGCTCCCTCGTCACACTCATTACATTTAAACCAGATGTTCCCATGGTGATCCTACACATACCAGGGACTAGCAACAGGCCTGTATTTGATATAGCGCCTCCTATAGTCCTAGAACCCCTCAGGGTGCTTTAACACAATAAAGCCCAATCCCAATCCATGCAGTGCATCCTATGGTCTTCTGCAAAGTGCACTTGGAGGAAGTGAGCAGTAAGGCTTTGAATGGGTGGTACACAAGTGTGTAAATAATTGCTGAATTGGGATAGAGAGCATTGCATCGTCGCACCACACGCAAGGACGCTGGTCTCTGTTTGTGCTTTCTTTTTTTAAACCACTTTCAAACAAACAATTATTTGGCAAATAATCTTAGTCTCAAACAGAGCATGAGTAATTGTCATTAATCATCTTGAAATCAACTTTTTTCATTTAGGGAATTATAAAAAGACTTGATTTTCCACAAAACTTCCAAAAGATTTTTTTTCTGACCAGAAAGGGAAAAAAAATCTTTTTCATCTTTAAACTCAACATTTTATTGTTGATTCTGTAGCTTGTAAAATATCTTTGAACTGATGTTTAATGCATCAGAGAAATGGGGTTGTGATCATATACATACTGTCATGTTCTGTGTCCCAGTTGTACCCAACCCCTTCCAGGTTTCCCTCTAGTCACTTCTACTTCCTATTTAGTTGTCCCATCTCATCCATTAAGTTTTCCCAGTAGTAGTTTCCCTCCTCTTTTGGTTCTTGTCTCTTTAGTTTTCCCAGTTAAACATCTAGAGTTTATTGTGTCTCTAGTTTCAGTTTTATTAGTTCTCTTATAATAGTCTTCTCTATGTTTATAGTATTTAGAAGACATGTGGATTCGAGTCACATGTCTTGGCTTCCCAGTTCCTAGCGTTTTGCGTTTTTTCCTCCTGTTCTGGTTGGCTCCCTTGGTTTTGAGCCCTTTTGGAAATAGTTTTTTACATTTCCCAAAATAAAGACTTTGTTTTTATACACACCTCACCTCCTCGAGTCGTTCTGGATCTTGCACATTGGGTCCAACCTGTCCCTCAACCTGACACACTCAATAATAAATATTCAATATTTCGATAAGAAGCTGATACAGATACAGAGCTGCTTAAGTCATCAGTCACTGTCGCTCTGATTTATGTTAATTATACACTGCATGGCTAAAAAAAAAGTTGCCACCAACAACAGGTCACACACTAATATTTACTTGGACCACCTTTAGCTTTGATTACAACACACATCTGCTGTGGCGTTGTTTCGATAAGATTCTGCAACATCACCAGATTTATTTCCATCCAGTGTTGCATTAATTTCTCACCAAGATCTTGTGTTGATGATGGTAGAGTCTGACCGCTGCACAAAGCCCTCATTCTTGGAGTACAACCTGTTGCTGAACCTAGACCTGACCAACTGCAGCAACCCCAGATCATAGCACTACCCCCACAGGCTTGTACAGTAGGCACTAGGCATGATGATGGATCACTTCATCTGCCTCTCTTCTTACCCTGGTGCACCATCACTCTGGACCAGGGTCCATCTGGAATCGTCTGACCAGTTTTGAATGACGCGTTGGACAGTTCTTAACCCAGTTTTGTTTCTGCACCAGTTGGGGTTAAATCACTTGTTGCCAGCTTAAAGATAATCACCCATGCAGTAATTATTCAATAGGAGGCTCCTACCTATTTGCTTAGTTAAATCCAGGTGGAGACTTTACTTTTGGCCGGGCAGTGTATGTTAGAAAATGAACAAATCTTTAAAAAAGGTTAAACCAAAAAGACCAAACTCAACATGAAGTTGTGTGTGTGTGTGTGTGTGTGTGTGTGTGTGTGTGTGTGTGTTTGTGTGTATCAGCTGATTACACCCTTTAATGCTTTGGGATGTTTTGTGCTTTGTATAGATTTTTAAATCCACACTGGTCTGTTACTGTTACAGCAATGCAAGAGCTAGCCACTGGGAGGTGGTATTTCCGTAAAAATTTAGCAAGTCTCTGTACCGGCACTAAAAGGGTTCTAAAAGTAATAACTATCCTAATTTAAACTGGTGCTAGAAACGTATCATTAATAAGTTAAAAGTGAGCAATAGCTGTACTAAGAGATGGAGAAATGGACTTTCTCAGTTTTAGACAAAAGGGGTCTTTTAGCTTTTCATTGACACTAACGGTGATGTATGTCAAAACACACATCTCAGATTTACTGCAGACCTGTGAGACTGTCTTGGCCAGTTAGTTTGGGTGAACAGAAGAGCAGATAAACAGTCAACACTGACACTTGTCTGAGAACATTTTGCATGCCACTCCAGCACTTACCATTACCCTTGTTTGACAGATCTATGAACGAGAAGCTACGACTGAGTTTAGAGAAAACCTGGACACCTCCTGTTCCCTGCTGGCACATTTCTCTCCTTCCTCTGAGAGTCTTCAGCCACACACCGAGGAAAGAATGGTAAGCTGTTACTTCGCACCTCCTAAAATATTTCTATGTAGTTACAGCTGATGTGTATTCTGCATGTATTAAACAGGTAGTGGGAATAATCTGTAAATCGTGACAAACTTCTATGAGAAAAACTAAAATCTGAACTTACATGTTCAGTTTCAGGAGAAACAAGCACTTCTCCGTCAGCCAGGAGTAAACAGATTGTATTGAGCTTAGGCCTGAGTGAACCAGATAGTCGAAGACTGGAAACATGTGTGCATTGAGCTGAGGTGGGGTAGTGTTACAGCCGGGCTTCAGTAGATGGCTGCCAACTCTCATGGAGTTAGGCGATGTGTGAAATGTGTTCATGGATTTAGATCAGTCATGTCTAAATGGCACACTGTTGTGTCATCTATCACAAAGTTCAGATGTTAATTCAGAAGAAACAGAAGTTGGCAAAGTCCCAATGCAACAGAAAACGTTCCACCCTGTAAACACATTTCCAAATGATTCCTTAGGTCTGAACGTGCACTTGCTTCGTGTATGTGCATTAATCAAAGAACACGTTATAAGTAAAAACAGTACTTTTTGAACATGTGTTTCATTCATTCACTCATTTCACCTTCTCTGTGGCCTAGTGGTATAAGTCTCCACCTGGGACTGGGAAACTGGGGTTTAAATCCTTCTCCTGTCATACCAAAGTCTTTGAAAATGAGACCCAATGTCTCCCAGCTTGACACTCAGCTTCGCAGGGTTGCGTTCCTGAGCGCAGCTACAGCTGCAGCTCACCGCTCCCTACGGGGATGGGTCAAATGTAGTTGCTCCAGCGTGTGATGACTAATTGGACTTTAAGTTTATTCCATTTGCCGTGTACTTAGAATGCATGACGCATTCAGATAAAAGCTGATCCTCCTCAATCCAAGGTTCAGTCAGTGCGTTTACATCAGAGAACCAAACTATTGCCCTAAATAGGCCGTCTTTTTTTAAATGCATGAAAACGTGTTAGTCTTCCTGAAAGTGAACTGATTCCAATTGTGCTGAAGCACCCAGATAATCCGATAGGAGTGCAACCTCATCTGCATGGAAACACCTCCGTCAGGCTAATACCAATAATTTCCAGAATTGACAAGACCACGGAAGCGGTCTTCTGATAATTTCATCACCACAAAGTAACACATGCAAGACCATCAAACAGTAGAATACATACCAATTAATCTTTGCTGCAGCTAGGGGTGGACTGGCCTATCTGGCATTCTGGCACAGTCCCGGTCGGCCGCTTAGCCGAGTGGGCTGCTTGCCCAGCTTGGGCCGACACTACTCCACGGTTGGTGATCTGCAGAACATTAGCTACATGGTAACCTGAAGCTAACAGAGTTTTTCCGGGTGTTTTTAGCAAGAAAAACGTTGTAGGGCGATGTCGTAGAAGTTGTTTTACAGTGTTAGCATGTAGCTAATGTCCTGTTGCTCTCCGCCCATGGAGAATGAGCTGATCTGGAAGGCCAGGACTCTCGGTCGCAGTGGTCTGGCCCTGCTTGTAATTTAACAGTCCCAGTCCATATTAGATCTCACATTTGGCCTAGAGACGAGTCCGTGGGCGGCAACACCCCCCACCCCCACCGCTCTCCCAATGGGGAGGGTCGGCTGAGGGCCGACGATTCGTAAAAATGCCAGGGCCGAATTTTGGTCCCAGTCCACCCCTGGCTGCAGCGTTGGTGTTGTCCGTTCCTTCGACCATTGTGTGTATCCTGTGTCAACTTTGTCTGCTTCACTCCTGCCAGCATTTGTTTACTATTTGTGTTGCTATAAGCCAGGGATTCCCAAAGTGTGGTGCGCGCGAGCTGCCGCTAGGAGGTGCGCGAGGTGAAAAGTGTAATGGCTGCGGAGCTCAGAGAAGTCTGTCATATGTCACCATTAGCGTAGCCAGAAACTCGTTTGTGGGTGGGCCAAAGAAAAAGTAAGTGGGCCCAATAAATGTAATTGAAAACAAGTATATTTTTGCGCGCTCACGCGTGTGTGTCCTCCGCATGTGCCCTAGCTTCATAATAATAATGCGCCGAGCTTCAGCACTCTGGCCTGCGCACGCTGATATGTTCCATATTTGATCATTTTTAACGGTGTTGGAGAAATCTGAAGGTGGTGAGTCATTCTGGCAGATTGTAATTAACACCCTGTCTCATGCAGGTGATCTGACATTGTAAACCTCACACACAGAACATTGTGGATGGAACAAAATAAATCAAGAAATGTTTCCCATTCAGCCTATTAACAGCGCGCCGAAGATCTGAAGTTCAGAGTGCGTCTGTCAGAGGTCAGACGCGTTCCAGCGGAACCACGGCTCACGGGTGCACAAGTGAGCACATCTGGGCTGGGCAGAAATAATTTTACAACATTGGTTTAAATAGCGCGAGACGCGGTGACTTGAGCGGCTCATGGAGCTGTGCCGCGCGCGCGCGCGCACACACACACACACACACACAGATTCAATAAGCGCGCACGCTGCGCAAAGTCCGGCACGCAGTCAGACTGAAGACAGAAATGAGCTCTGCCTCCTCTGTGATAAAAACTTTTAAGAGGTTTTATAACATTTTTCATTCCAGGTCAAATTAAGATATTAGCTTCTATTTTGGGATGACGTATTAAAGTCGGGTCCGCTCCACCCAGTGACTCCGAACCTGACTACAACTCCTGTTACTGCAGCATTTGTTATTCCAGTCCGCGTGGCAGCGGAACGCAGATTCAGCCACACCATAAAACAGCAATAAGTCGGTCTGAGGCAAAAGTGAACCTCATGGCTATATCTTTTCCATCTTTCCCCCTGTAGACATTTGATTACGCACAAGTAGGTGACCAGCTCAGGTTTACGCACAGCAGAAGGAAGGAGAGCGCTCTGGCCGCACAGGTTAAACGTTCCTACTTTAAGAAAACTGTTAAATTGCATTGTTTATGTGCTACCTGGGCACTCTAAATATTTATTTAAAATTAAATCAAAGGAAATTGTAATGGTATCGAATGCTTTTTAATTACTATTTAAAAAATGAAAGTGATGGGGTAAAAGGTCGATCATATTTTTTTAACCCTGTCTGTTTAGCTGGGGGCTGCATCGACATGGTCGGGACACAGAAGGGGGTGCGTGGCTAAATAAGTTTGGGAACCACTGCTATAAGCTAACCGCAAGAATGCTGACATTAACGAGCATGTGTCACCACCTACTTTACCAGAGTGAAACAAACTTCATTTGAGAGTTTGGTTTTCTAACCTACATGTAAACTAGAATGAATGCTCCCAGTTTATTACTTTAAATCATCCTAGATGGACCATCCTTTCAATACCTGAGTAAAGGGTCTTCTGGAAGCTAAGAGAAGTACACCTACAGAGCAGAATACACTCTTCAGTTCCTCTTTCTGAAAATGAGATCATCAGCTAGGTGGATCCATCTACATCTGAAACCCTGCCATTGGAGAGTGTTTAACTGCTGTGGTGAACTCTGGTTCGGGAGAGCACATCATGATTAGATTAAGAAGATCCCTAAAGTCTTCAATTCACTGCCGTACAATAGCCCATGTGTATGTCTAGAGATCCCCCGTAGCGTCACGAAGGTCCTCTAATTTGTGACAAAGGTCACATTTTCCCAGATGGGTCAGCTGGGTCGACTGTAACTTTGCCCCACAGATTAAACAAGCGAGGAGCCATGATGTCTGCTGAATATCATCTATATCTGCTGCTGTTCCGTCCCAGATTGAAGGACACTTCAAGATCACAATAATAACTTTTTAAATAATAATTTTAATAAACTCTTTGACTTTATTACTGTTTATTATAATCATCATAATTAATCTCTTGGTTCAGTAAATGTATTTTAATTACTGAAATGACTTATTATGCTTTGGGTATAATAATGATTATTGTTGATGATCTGTTATGTGTGTTCAGCAAACCAGAAGGTCATCTCGCATGTAACCAGCCTCACATAGAGGGTACCACAGGGTAAAAGTAATCTGCCATCACATGTCTTTGACTCATGACCAAAGCTTTCTTGCTGAGAGGGGGTGTGTTCTGAGGGGTTTGTTAAAACTAAATTTCCAGCAGCAAAACTTCAGTTCGTGAACCAACCACCATCCTGAGGATAAGGGAACGGCCGCCCTGAAGCCTCTACCTGCTGTTCTGTCACGCTGATAGAATAGCTTTGAATAAACGCACGATAACCAGCTGACGCAAAACTCCTTCAGAGTTATTGATTTTTAAGTAAGACGCAAAACTCCTTCAGGCAGGCCAAGGGATTCGTTAGATTCAGTGGCCAAAGCTCCTTTGTTTATGAAAATCTCTGCATTTTGTCAGTCTTGTTGAAAAGCCAGAAACACAAAGCTTGTTTTGTGGATCAGCTTCACAACTCATTTTCATAATGTTGTCAGATTTTCAACATGACGCACTGTGTTTATATGGGCATGCCTCCTTTCAGCATAACCGCACCCACAAACATGTCTCCACAGGGCAGGCCAAGCCAGGTGGTGCTTAATCATTTTCTGTTTTAGTTAATCCTGCATGTGCTGGTGACTGATGCAGCTTTTGTGTTTGAAGTGTTCTCACACAGGGAGCACAGCTGTGGAGAAGGAATCATTACCACCTGAGATACCCGAGGTCAAAGAGGCGGAGTCAGCACCACCTGAAGGACCACAGGTTGAGAATCCACCTTTAGGAGCAGAGGGAACAGGGAACAGCATTTCATTTGTAAGAAAACTTTTTAGAATTATTTTTTTAGCATGTGAAGTGCCCACAATCATAGTTGCTTCTTCATACTGTCACTGCACTTGGTATTCAAATTCAAATTCAAATTCAAAAATACTTTATTAATCCCAGAGGGAAATTGATTGCTGTAGTAGCTCAGAATAATAATAATAATCAAGTCATCAAAGAGTTATTGTACATCACAATGGCTGTTGGCAGGAAGGATCTCCAGTAGCGGTCAGTGTTGCAGCGAAACTGAAGAAGCCTCTGACTGAAGACACTCTTCCGTTGTCGGACAGTCTTGTGAAGAGAATGCTCGGGGTTGTCCATAATTTTCTTGATTCTCTGGAGAATCCTTCTATTGAGGCAAACTTCACCTTGCAGGAATCAAAAAGTACCAGTTGAGTTAATAGGTATTAACAGGACGTGAAATTACATTCTAACATGAACAGGTGCTGGTCATAAAATTAGAATGTCATGTCAAAATTGAATTATTTCAGTAATTCCATTCAAAAAGTGGAACTAGTATATTATATTCTTTAATTACACACAGACAGATGTATTTCAAATGCTTATTTATTAAATTTTGATGATTATAACTGACAACTAATGAATATCCAGAATTAAGCATCTCATATTATTATAATCAATTAAGACCAATGCAAAAAAAGGAATTTTAGAAATGTTCTTCTGGATTGTTGGGTCTGGTATATTGCATCTTTCTCTTCACAATACCACATCGATTTTATATGGGGTTAAGGTCAGGCCAGTTTGCTGGCCAATCAAGAGCAGGGATACCTCAGTCCTTAAACCAGGTACTGGTAGCTTTAACACTGTGTGTAGGTGCCAGGTCCTGTTGGAAAATGAAATATGCATCTCCATGAAATTGTTCATCAGCAGCAGGAAGCATGAAGTGCCCTAAAAGTTCCTGGTAGACAGATGAGTTGACCTTTGACCACAGAAATCACAATGATGTGGTGGTTCTTGAAGCACTGACTCCAGCTGCAGTCCACCCTTCGTGAATCTCCTCCACATTTTTAACAGGTCTTGTTTCACACTGCTCTCCAGGGTGGGTCATCCCTGTTGCTGTTACACTTTTTTCTACCACATCTTGTCCTTCCCTTCTCCTCTCTGGTGATGTGCTTGGACACAGAGCTCTGTGAACAGCCAGCCTCTTTAGCAACGACCTTTTGTGTCCTGCCCTCCTTGTGTAAGGAATCAATGGTCGTCTTTTGGACAAGTGTAAAGTCAGTAGTGTTCCCCATGATTGTGTAGCCTACAGAACTAGACTGAGAGACCATGTAAAGGCTTTTGCAGGTGTTTTGAGTTAACGAGCTGATTAGAGTGTGGCACCAGGAGTCTTCAATGCTGAACCTTTTCACAATATTCTAACATTCTGAGATACTGAATTTGGGATTTTCACTAGTTGTCAGTTATAACCATCAACAAAATAAACATTAGAAATAAATCAGTCTGTGTGTATTGAATCAATTTAATATACAAGTTTACTTTTGAATGGAATTACTGAAATAAATCAACTTTGTGATGATGATCTAATTAAATGACCAGCACCTGTAACTCTCTCCTGAATCGACACCTTGTTGTGGCTTAGAGGTTTGAGGACCTTACTGGTAGGGTCTCCCATGGCAACATGGTCTCGGGGGAGGAAGCCGGAGTCTTCTGTTGGGTTTAATGATTTCTCACTAACTCATAAATAAAACTTCCTAAAATTAGCTGCTGTTGATATCATTGTTAGTCCCGCCCACTGACTTTGCAGTAGAAACACATGGTGTGTAAAGCATCACGTGTGATTTGGTTATTCATTTATTGAATTAATGATGCATTTCAAACTGTATAGTGATGCATTTATTTGTGGCTCCTTTCAACCAGGTAGGGAAGCTACAGTATATGACAAAGGAAAATAAAATTCCCCCTAAGGTTTATATCAGGTAAAGTTGAGAGCGTCTGCTAAAAACCAAATAAATCAGCCGTTTAACCACCACACCAGGGTTTATTCAAAGAATAACTAACTAAAAACGTCTCTAAAAGCTTTAAGCAAGTCAAAATAAAACAGTTGTCGGAGCTATGGCCGGAGAGTCTGCAGCCTTATCTGGGTGCTGTGGGGCAGGCTCCACCTCCGCAGAACAGTCCTCCTTGATCCTCTTATGGTGTCACACTGCCTCCTTCAGGTCGCTTGTCTGCTGCGCCGTCGTTCTCCTCGATCGCTCGCCTCATGCAGGTCAATCACTTGCTCCGCCTCACCACTCACCTGTCAGTGAGTTTAGACTGCAGTCACTGCACAATCACAAACCCGCAGGTCACACTTCGTTCCAGACTGCTACTCACACGCCAGGACAGAGGGATGCTCTGACAATCGGTGTCCTTCCGCCCGACGAATCTTCGCTCTCGTCGCGACTATCAGCCTTCATCTTTTCCTGCCTCTTCCGTCGTCTCCACACGCACCTGTTAATCTTCCACCGGTGCAGATAATTCTTCTTCTTCTTCCTTTGTTAGGCAGACTAGACACGTATTCGGCATATTGCAGCCACAGCAACCTGAAGTTCACATCAAACAATGTTCACACCCTCGCATACACACCAACCTGACGTAAAAAAGACATCAGCGCGCCCACACACTGTCCATCCTTCACCCTCAATAATAAGGTTCGCAGACTAAAAACCCCCACCCCACAGAACCCAAAAACCCAAACAGGGCCCTCCTTTCGACTGAGTAATCAGGACATTCCAGCAAAACATGTTTTACCGTTTCCAGCACCCCACATTGGCACAGATCGTCAGGGTGCTTCCCCACTATCAGGAGACCCCGGGCAATTACCCGGTGCAGGTAATTACCCAGGTGGGATGTCATCTGTCCGGGCTTGTCAGAATAAAAGCACACATCCTCCCAGCTTCCTGTGTTTTTTCAGAATAAAAGCACACATGCAATAAAAAATAAAAAGACTACACACTAAAACTACACCACACTGGGAGGGAAAACCGCAATAAAACCCAACTTTGCCCGTATGACATATTTATTAAATTGTCTCAGAAAAACTAATGCAAACAACTATGAAACTAGCATTGAAACTTATTGCTGATGATATTTTGGTAACACGGTTCCTCCTGCAGGACCTGTTTTTGTATATTTTGAACTGGTGAAACTAGAACCTGCTGTGCAGCATCCTATGGTTCTGTTTGCTTTTCTGACTCAGTCCCCAGCAGACGCAGAGGAAGAGCAGCTGGAGCATCGAAGAATGTGGGAGTTGGGGCAGGCTGACTACTTGGGCAGAGACGCCTTCCAAAACATACAGAAAATGCTGGATCGCTTTCTGGATTAGAGAAGCCACATTAGAACAGGCTGTAACCTTTGACCTCTCCTCACTAGTCCATACTACATGTTAAGGATCCACATGTTGTCCTAGAAGTTACTACAGAAAGATGTTGGTGCTTCATGGTGATTAAACCATCTTTCATGGGTTGCCTGTTCATTTTGTTTGGTCCAAACAAAACTCCGGTCCTTTTTTTTGCCTCTATGTTGGTGTCACAGTTTGGTGTTGAGGACCCAAAATGCAGAAACCCAGGATGACACGAGGCAGGAGTAGATAAAGAAAAATTCTTTTATTGGAGGAGCCAAAAAGTAAAATAAATCCAAAAGGCTGGGAGCCAATAAATCCAAGGCAGTTCAAAAACTAGAGGCCAAAAACACAGGAGGCCAAAGAAGGCTGAGATAAAAGAAACACTGGAGACAAGACTAGACTGACAGAATACAAACACACTGACAGCAACAATGGACCGACAAGAACAATGAGACAAGGAGAGGCTTTATACACTGGGGCTGGAGTGATAAGAGACGAGGAGCAGGTGTGTGGAGAACTGGCACAGGTGAAATCATTAATGCGAGGAGCAGAGCAGGACACCAGACCTGACTGGGAAGGACAAACAAACACACACACACACATACACATACACATACTGACACACACTTAAACTCACACACATATACTGAGCTGGGGAACAAGAGGCTGGAGCTACAACTAGAGGGGCTGAGGATGACTGGATGACACAGGACCTTATTAAAACTATTTGATTGTCTTTCCAAATATGCTGTCACGTTCAGAGTCGGATTAATGCAAAGGCAAAGTAATGTAGAGTTATCTGCATACTGAAATCACCTCTGTGGCTATTCAGTGGAGATTCCAAAAATTACCAATCAGATTAACCTATGAAGCTTAAATCATATATATAAATATCCCGGATACTTATATATCGATCTAAGTTCATACATCAACCTGTTTGATGTAATTTTAATCCAAAGATTAATGTTTAATTTATGTAATTAAATTTAATAGCAAAAGTTATTTTGAATCAGAAGCTAGGATCTTTGCTTTCAAATAACCAGAAATATTATACCTTTTCTGTGTTTCGTTTCAATAATGAGGCAAGTTTAAAAATGAAGAAATTTATTACTAACAATTTTAAACTGGAAGATTTGAAATGACCGTTATAAAATGACAATTCAAGGATGACAATTTTAATGACAATTTTTAACAGCTTTGATATTAAACTTGTTTTAAAAGCAAACCTGTGCCTGAATGGAAGCTAAATGAAAAATACGAGTTTGGATGCGTGAATGAGGTTATTAGGAGGTTTCTTTCACAGAGAGTTGGAAGCGTTCTGGATGAAAATGATGTTTTGAGGCTAACTGAATTATTTAGAGAGAAAACAGCATCAAACGCATTCTCGTGTGCCACCTCACCCAAACAGGACCCTCTTGTTGATCCGGAGATCAGGAGGATGTGGTTCGTCCAAGATGACAGTCTGGTAGGGGAGACGCAAGTGTCCGATCGTCTGGTCCAGAGTTGTCCTGGGTACACAGTTGTCAAGCGTGTGGCAGATGGATGTTCTCGTCTTAACTTCAGAAATCAATGACTCTGGGTAGAGTCTTCGTTAGCTGGTTACAGTTCGTTTATTCTTCATTCTGGTCGGCGTGACTGGAACAGCAGGTGGAGGTTTTCAGAGACGGCCGTTCCCCTTTCCTCCATGGTGTTGGTTCAAGAACTGGTCCTAAAGCTGGTGATGGTTAGTTTTACCAAGCTCCAGGACACTCCCACTCTCTCAGGAAGAAAGCTTTGATCATGTGTCAAAAACATGTGTGAAGCTATGTTTATCTGGACTCTGTGTTAGCTGGATAAGGCGAACTGACCTTCTGATATGCTGAACACATCTTTTACTGTCATCGTTATCATTATTATAATTAATCATTATTATACCCAAAGCATAAATTCATTTCATGTAATTAAAATACCTTTATACTGAACCTAGTGATCACTTATGAGATTATGTTAAACAGTGATATGTCTGTGAAGGTTCTCAGTCATCCAGGTTATTGTAGTCTAAGGAGCTTTGAAACAGTAGTAAAATCAATGAGTTTTATTAATTATTATCTAATTATTATCATATGACTTGAAGTGTCCTCTTCCTAGGATGGAACAGCAGCAGATATGGTGGTATGATCTTGCAGACATCGTGGCTCCTTGGGTTAATCTGTGGATTTAAAAGTACTGTTTGACTCAGCTTGACCCAGCTGGGTAAATGTGACCTCTGCCACAAATTAGAGAACCTTCATCACTTTACAGTAGGCACGTGCCTAGGGCCTGATTGGGCCCAGACAGAGGGACAAAATTAAAAATAAATAAATAAAAATAAAATGTACAAATGTCCTATGACAGAATTTGTGGATAAGACTGCTTTATTTAAATATTTATTAATTAACTAAAAATAGTGACAATGTTTATCTTAACCATAGACTGTTACATTAACTGTGCCAAATTAATGCCAGCCCATGACTAGGCCCTACAACTTGGGCGCCCTTATTAAGGATTTCAGCACAAATCAGCAGAGCCAGAGGCCGAGCCCGAGCCAGACCCGGAGGAGACACGGCCTGAAGATGCGGTGGGAAATGCGGCGGAAGATTCTGTGGCGCCAATGCCGTCAACATCAACGCTGTCACAGGACGAACTGGAAGAACAGCAGCCAGACAGAAGTGAGCCTATAGTCACAGCAGCCTGCTGTAAGGGTCAGCAAGAGCCTCTAAACCCAGAAAGGGTATTAACAAGCTACCCATCTGATCCTGCAAAGTGGTACCAAATTGATGACAGGATGCGTGAGTACCTGGGACGTAATTTTGGGGGGGGGACGGGTGGGACATGTCCCCCCCACTTTTTCAAAAGGCAGTTTTGGTCCCCTGCACTTTTTTCCGTCCGAAAACAATGTTACGCTCCATTAAATGGATTTGGTTGAGCAGTAGGACCGAAACGGAAGCCGGTTTGCTATTAGACCCGCCCAAAAGCTAATCTATTGGCTCTGCTGATACTTGCTAACGTATTATTGGCTGTTGCTGCTGTCACTCAAGTTGTAAACAGTCAGAACGTGCTCACGTTGTTTTGCTAGTTTGGAGCCGCTAGGGAACACCGGTACTGAGTCACATCGTCAACTAGACGCTGTGTAATATCAGAGCTCAGCTCAGCTTCCATTACATAACATTTGAATAAGTGTTCATTTGTTATTCTTTGGTAGTTAGGCACAGCCAGGAGGCAGCATGTCAAGAAAACGAAAAGTGGATAAGAGACTTCTTTCAAAGTCAAAACGTAAGTTGGACATGTGACACCCCTGCATTAAGCTCAGACTCACCTCCTCCTTCACAAACATACTCAAAACTAACTTTTACAAACTCATCTCCTCCACATAACTGACTCCTCAGACACAATTTATTCGTATTATTATAATTATTATAATTTTTTATTATTACTATTATCATCATAATTATTATTACTAGTAGTAGTAGTAGTAGAAGTGTAACTTCAAAACTCTTATCATTTAACTTTATTGTAAACTTATCTATTGCAATGCATATTTTCACATTAAAAAGCTCTGAAAAATGAACAGTATCATCATCGTCAACAAATTTTTTTAAGCTTAATGTCAAAGATGTACACTTTTCATTAGATTTATCTTATTTTTTCCATTTTTTTTGTGTGTGTTGAAATGCAACAACTGTTTAAACACTTTTAAGGGGAAAAACATATTTAATATGTTTTTATACACTCAAATGTTAGGGTGATGATCATGTGTAAAACATTAGTTCAGCATGTCCTCTAACACAGCAAATGAACAAACGGCCAAATCTCAGGAGGACCGTTTATGTATAAATAATTTTTATACTTTTGACTAGGCCTGGGAATGTAACAAATTTTGCTGGTCTGGACGATATTTTGTCCAACAAATTGTTGATGATAAACGATATTGTCAACATTATCTAGACCAAAATAACCACTAATATAATGTTAATATATCATAATAATGCAAGTACACCCTTTAAAATGCAACAAAGAAACCTTCATTTAACATTGAAATGCCCAGAACCAGAACTTCCAAATGAATAAAAATAACAAACAAAAATTAAATAAAAAAGGAATCTCACTCCCTGTTAGAAAATGTTGCACCAAAAACAATAAAAAAAGACCCAAAACAATAAATACAATGGCCTATCCATTGTCAACAGCCAAAACTGCACTTCAATAAGGATGGAAAAATTATTGAGATGGGCACGTGACATGCCAAGGGGTCTTTACATAACACCCCCCACCCCAAATCCGCACAAGCCTGCTGTGTCCCCCCCACTTCTGAAATCAAAATTTCGTCCCTGGTGAGTACTTTGCACTAAACTATCCCTCTCAAAATATTGGATATTCCTCTGCATCACAGAGAAAATATGGAGACATAAACCGAAGTTTAACCAAGGAACATTTCTTTAGACGTGTTTCTGCTGTGACTGAGGCCTGTGATGTTGCAAGCCTGAAGATTATTCCAGAGTGGAGCATGCTAAATGGTTTCCTTGGTAAGTGGTGCTGGTTTTATTAATTATTTTTCAAATATGTTTTCTTAATGTTCAAATAGCATAACAAACAATAAGTTCACATTCAGAAAATTCACACAGATTTTCTGATTCAGCAGAGGCAATAACAGCCTGAAAGAGCTTAAAGCAAGGTCAAAACTTAAGATAATGTTTTCACTTTATTAAAATACATTCTTTTAAGATTATAGATTGTATTAAATTTATACTGTAATAATTTAAGCTGCGTGTTTATAGTTTGTTTTTGCACCTTTAAACATGCTTCAGTCCATTAAAATTCATCTATTTCTTCTTGAATGTCTTTCCACCATCATGTGATTAATTTGCCAACATTTATAAATGTTGTAAGCTATTGTAGTTTGCAGAAAATGTTTTTAATTAAATGTGATGATTAATTTTAATGACACCTAGTTGTTATTCACTGGTACTACTGCCTTAACAGTGACACTCCCAATGGATAAGATGAAGATAATTTATTAGCATTTAATACAGCTGTGTAATGACGTATACATTATTAATATCAAAAAATAGTCTGATAGAATGTTTAACACACAATACATGACTTATTTTGGCATACAAACAACCAATTTGTAACCAAAGACTAGGCTATGTAAAATGTGAATAAACTTTTATTAGTAACTTTGGTGAATTTCAGATTTAATTTCATAAAATAACATCGATGGAGGGTGGGCAAAAATGCAGCCTGCCTAGTGTAGTCAATTTATTTAATCTGGCTCTGGTCACGTTTGTGGATTATGACCAGCCTGGAGAACCTCCTTAAAAGTGATGCCTTACATCAGAGAGCACACAAACAGGCCAGCAGGGAGAGCTGTGAGTTCAGCATTACAACCTACTGGCATCATCTGATTAGACGGTAATGAGAGACATCACAGCAGCAGTGATCCAGATGATGATGATGAGACATTCATTCATCTGTCAGATAAAAACTAAAGCCGAGATCAGACTAGGCATAGGCATTTTAGCCCATTTATGAGGGTTCTAAAGCATGCATAAACTGAATCCTTGCACCCCTAAATGTGATGTTTGGAAGCCTTCCCCCCCCCCCCCCCCCCCAATGTGAAGTTGATGTAAATAAATTATTTGGTGAACACAGTAATTTGTACATATTTTTTCTTTGGAAAAAAAACATAATGATTTTTACATTCATTTATTAAATAAAATAAAGGTTTTAAATGCTGGTAATAGATGTATGGTGCAATTCATTATTGTGACATTTGCATTAATTTCACTTGAAATTAATAGATTAGATAGCTTTAGGGATGCACCTTTTCCAAATTTCCTTTAACCAGTTACTGACACCCTTAACTGTAATCAGGCAGTTAACCGTTAACCACTAAGTCAATTTATTTGATTATGTGACGAACCCACATCTTCTTCTGAGGTGTTTGAGTCAACATATTAAGTAACTGGTTATGACCTTAATGACAGTCAATCGGTTATTTCATCCTATGAATTGAACAGTGAAAAGTGACTGTACGTATTGAGGAATAACACCCTTTGAATTTTGTTTTTAGTGGAAAAAATGTTTTTTTTTATTTTATAGATTATTTTCATGTTCATGTTATGGTAAAACTGTTTTTTTCTTCAAATAAAAACATTTTCTTCTACAACAAAATACTGACTTCAGCACTATTTTTAACCACAAAAACAACAATAAAAATATCTTCTTACCATGAAAGAAAAAACTGTTTTGGTACCATTCTGGCAACCCCAACTGTTGGCATTTCACCTTAAAATCTACGTGTTTTTTAATTTATGTATTTATTTTTTTACTGGGCATTATGAATGTAACTTTATCTTTCAAAGAGAAATCTGATGTCTGAAAATCTGAACTAGTCTTCACTGGTTAGTTTTTAGAAATTGACGGTTTTATTTATTCTGTATGTCACCATTATTGTTTACAGTCCATTCTTGGTAATGACCTCACATTAACATCTTTACTCACACTTTTTCCTTTCAGCTGTTAGAGAGGTAGAACATACCTGGTCTGACCTTGAGTCAGCTGGTTTTACAGATGGACATGGACAAGTCTTCATCACAATCAACTTCATCGGATGAGCCCATGTCTCCTAACTCTCGCCAGCTAGACGTGAGCATCAGGTGATGATGATGATGCGGATTTTCTTACAGAGCTCATATTAGATGTTGTTTTCTCCAGAAATGATGGTGTTTAGCAGCAGAAGATAGCTCACCAATACAAAGTTTTGTCCACATCAGTTCAGACTTTTTTAGAAAATGTGCTTGTTATGGAAATTTTATATTTCATTACTTTGGTCCTATTAACAGATTTGTTGGCTTAATGTCCTGAAAGCACACACACACACACACACACACACACACACACACACACACACACACACACACACACACACACACTTATTATTGTCCTCTCATACTCACACACTCTCTCACACATGATCCACTCCCATTCCTTCCTTATCTTTTTCTTTAAATAAATTCTGTGACCAGATGTTTAGGGCATTTGCCCTGCGCACTTGCCACTAAATCATGATTTGGTTGTATGTCTGCCTCATTGTTTCTTGTCTCTTTTCTCTTCAACTCCAGGAAATGGGTTTATTGATAAACATATTGATAAAATCCATGACATTATTTGGTCCTTCGAGAGCTGGGGTCCCGTCACCTTGCAGCGCCAAGAACTGACGCCAGAGGACTGTCGACAACCTTAATCTCCTCCAGCGCTGAGTTTTGCTGGGGGGTTGGTGAGGTCTTGACGTTGCTAGGAGAAATGCGGATCTACGAACTCAAGTCCTGAAGTGGAGAGGTTTGGTGAGACAAGTTTGTTGTTTGTTTGTCTTTGTGGTACCGAGAGAAAATCCTAGGTGACCAGAGAATAAAGTGGTGTTGTCCACCGTGAATACGATGGTTTTGATGGGTTCTTTTGAATACTGTCTGTATTTGGCTTGGTTTTGCGCATTTTAGTCGAAATTAGAAATGCAACTCTGGTGTAAGAAATAAAGTAAACAGGTATGATAACTATTGATTTAAATTTTGGTGTTGTCCGCCGGAAGGGATGTTTTGACAGATTCTCTTAATGCTGTCTGAGTTTGGCTTGGGTTTTTGAGCATTTTAGACGGAGAAACAGAAATGTGCTCTGGTTGTCTGTGTTGTTGTTTGTTTGTCTTAGATGTTGTCTGCTTTAACTGTTGTTCGAACGGATGAGTGTCTGGACTTGCTTATTCTTGTAGAAAGAAGGATATTGCAACTCATTTGCACACGTCTCAAGTTGGTGGTCAGACTTTTAAACAGGTTGGCTGGTAAATGAGTCCCGCTGTGTTTAGACACACAGTTGGAGGGCAGATTCGTAAGCCTAAATCTCACCCCATGCCGAAGAAGAGACCGTGTGGTATCTATATGGGGGAATAAGAACTCACAAATACCTTTTGGGTAAATATTGTACATTGATGGAAAAGTAAATCCAGGAAATGTGGAAATGATCTGAAAATTATCAGAGAATTGGTGGAAAACATGATTTTGATAATCGCTGACGTGTCACAAATGTATTATGCTTCCTCGTAACGTGTCACAAATGTATTATGCTTACGAGGAAGCACAGAGCAGTGGAGAGAAAAAAGGGTTGAAGATGTGAAACAGAGAGAGAGCACATCCAGGTAAAAAAAACTGCAAACAACTGCTGCTGTGCTCTGAGCTAATATGGTCTTATCAATTGAGGCCTAAAGGCAACTTAAACTAGGCTTACGTCTCGGCCCGGCCGCTCCGGTCATCACAGGATGGTCGGCTAGCAGTGCCTACACCACGCTGAGGACAATCCAGGCTCTTCTCATGCATCGTTCCACAAATGTGGAATTACCTTCCAAGCACTACCAGAACTGCGGCTTCCTTTTCAATTTTCAAGAAACTCCTGAAGACCCTGCTCTTCAGAGAGCATCTTCTAAACTAGCACCATCCCTGCGCCCCCCTACCCTCCACTCCTTTGTTCCCTCCTCGCAATGATTGATGTCAAGTTGTTGTTATTGTTGTTGTTAGCCTCAAGGGCAACATGCCGATTATCACTTGTAAGTCGCTTTGGACAAAAGCGTCTGCTAAATACATAAACATTACAGTGGACAGGTTCTCAAAATTGTTGTTTATTTATTCATTTTTTGCTATTAAGCACAGCTGTTGAAGACTTTATTGCAGGGGTGTCAAACTCATTTTAGCTCAGGGGCCACATTGAGGGAAATCTAGTCCCAAGTGGGCCGGACCAGTAAATTAAAAACAACTTCAGATTGTTTTCTTTGTTTTAAAACAATCGATATAAAAAAAGCTGGAGCCTGAGGACAGTGTATCCAAAATAGTACAAGTACAACACCTGAAGTGTACTTGAAAATTTGAAAAAAAAAAAATTACTAAATAAAAAAAAACATTCCTTAGCGATTCAAAGAGCTTACAGATCACATGGCAAGATCAGTTTCATGCAGCACTTAAAGTATATTTGACTCATTTTACTTTACATCTTTTAGCTTTCACCAGCACATCAATATCAGAAGTCACATCCTGAGTGGCAGCTAACTTCAGGATGTGATTCAAGTTCTTGTGTGAGCCTTGAGCGCAGCTTTGTTTTATTTATACTCACTACAGAGGAAACTTGCTCACAAAGATAAGTTTATTTTCACTCTACATTGTAAAGTATGAAAATAAAGTTTACACAACCATCTCGCGGGCCGGATGTAACCCGTTTGCGGGCCGGATCCGGCCCGCGGGCCGCATTTTTGACACCCCTGCTTTATTGCATTTGAGCCCCTCCATGTGGACTTTGGTAAGTCCAGCCAACATATTTCATGTTCAGAATACACGCTGTCCACTGTAGTGGACATGCAGTAAATTATATGCAAGTTATTAAATATTACAAAAATATTTGTTGAAATTTTTTTCATTCGCACATGAGGATAAATGAAAAACACTGTTAAATAATCATGGTTGAAGATTTCAAAATTCATGCATCAAAGGGTTAAGCACTGGCCAAATATTTAATTTCTGGTATTCTGGTGACTAATATGATTTGAACTATGAACTGTGTCACTTTTGGTGGCTGAAAGGGAAAGGGTTTTAGTGGAACCCCTCGATTTGAGAAATTGACTGTTTATCAGAACTTGGTAGTAAAAGAGAGCCCAATAAAAGCTGAGAGTGTATATTTTAGTTGAAATCTCTTGGACTGCGAGATTGACTGTGTGGTGAACCGTAATCCCAGACCAACAAAACTAGTGACTATTGTCAAATTGCATTTTATCTCCTTATTTTTGTTTTTTTAAATCTTTGTCTCTGAAGTTTAAAATCAAGACAAGGGAGTTTTCAGCAAATGACAATGGAGCCCGGGCAACAGCAGATTTGGTATGCAGTGCCTGTTGAAGTCGAAAACTGCATTTTGAACACTCTAAAAAATATTGGTCGTCATGAACTGAATCTCCTGGTGTCTGTCAAATGTAGGAACTTGTTCAGATTTCCGATTAGCGGACAGTGTGATCAGAACAAGGGGAGAAACTGTCTGGAAGTAAAATTAAAATGAGACAGCAGATTAAAGCTGTTGCAGGAAATTTGCATTTGATAAGTTTTAATTGTTTTAATTCTTCATGTATTCCCAGATTGGGAACTTTGAAATACTTTGACACAGAATGTCACGCTCCTCCGTGTCTGGGTTAAACAGCATTTAATAGTTAATAAACATTTTCTCAGTCTTTATTCTGCCTCTCCTGTCAGCTCTCATTCCTTATCTCCTTCTTTTTCAACAAGGGAGCAGCTCTTGCCCTTGGCTATTGTTTTGTTTTTATTATTGCTAGATGAGCATTATAAGATGACACTTGTCCTACATGACCCTTAGATGTGACCAGAAGCTGGTTCAGATAACTCATGTTATATACGTTAAGTATCAGTTTGGACTGTTTATTGAATATTCCTACAATAAATTCTGTCAAAAATACACATCCCTACTGCAGACCAATCCCACCTCATGTAGTTCATATGCTGTATAATAAATCCACAGTGATGGTTATGGATAAATATCTGTACTAATGGTAATCTTTTTCCATTGTTTCCAGTTGACAAGCATATGGACCTATTGTTCGAGTCCGTGGTGGTGGATGCTCTACCATATCAGGAGTCTGTGGTGGTGGATGCTCTACCATATCAGGAGTCTGTGGTGGTGGATGCTCTACCATATCAGGAGTCTGTGGTGGTGGATGCTCTATCATATCAGTAGTCTGACTAAGTACCTGTGCCTGAACCGCTCTGTGTCTAGTTCAAAAGACCTGAAAGACCTGCTGTAAGCAGGCACAGGTTAAGATTTTAAAAGAACCTGTAAGGTGAGCAACACAACACAATATAAATCTTTATTATTATTGTACGCTTTACAGCTAGAATAAACTTGCATGCTCAGAAGCCACGTATGATTACATCGCCTACAGGTTGCCTGATGCTGAACTTCGGGCAGCTGCGTGTGACTGTACTCCCGTGGAACAACCGCCTGTGGGAGGAGTCGTTGTGTTGCTGTTAGGAGTTTGGGTCGGAGTCCTGGGTTTGCGTTCCCTTTAATCTCTTCCTTAGCCTTGCTAGTCACCATTGCAGAGCACCATGGAGAGGCTTACCTGAAAACTCTTCTCATGGGGCAGGCACATCCTCACACACCTGTAACCCCATCCTTGAATAAAAGCTGGTAGCTGGTCACTCATCAGAGTGTTTTAACCCATATCTAGCCCATGACTCTGCCGTTTTTCAAACTTACGTTCTCATGTTCTATGCAGATCTATGGGAATTCTTTCCTTGAAGTTCCTGATCACACAACCATACTGGCAGTCGGCTTACCCACTACCTTCTGCTCACCCACTTGCAACTCATGCTGTCATTCTCCCAGACTTCTGGTTGTTTCTCCACCATTCTGCTGTCTCCCGTCTGCGCTACAATTTCAGACCGTAAGTACCTAAACTTTTCCTTTTGTAAGTCATTCTTTAGTCATTATTAACACTCAATTTTACCTCAGGGCCTTCTGATCTTTAAACACTAAAACCTGTGGCTCCATCTCTGTGGCGTTTCTCAGTCTCTGTAAGCTACCTGCACAGTCTAAGAAAAACCTGACCTGTTGACTCTTACTAACCTCTGCTCTTCCTCGCAGAAGCTTCTGGTTCCTGATCTCCAGCAGTTACCTCTTCAGTCATCTGTCAAACATTTTAATAAACTGTTTTTAGCTCATTTGTCTCCTGAGTTTCTCTGCATGAAGGTCAGGTTATTGCAAAAATCATGACATCAGCAATTACTTTGCACCACTCTGTTAAACAGCTGATATTAATTTCAAGTGTATCTTTAAAAATACATTGAATGTCAAAGTGAATGAAAGGCATCCATTCAGCTTTCGGTGTCTAATGCAGGATTTTATGGACAGGCACCAAAACAGGAAATTTATAAATTGAGATTTATTTACTAAATCAGGTAAACCATAATAAAATACTAATGTTTAAAGTCCGGAGGAGGGAGGAAGGCTTTATAGCAGGGGTATTCAATTCTAGTCCTGGATGGCTGGTATCCAGCACGTTTTAGTTGTTTCCCTGCTCCAACACACTTGAATCCGTGGTTGAATTACCTGTGCAGCAGCTCTGCAGAAGCCTGTTAATTATCTGCTGACTGAAATCAGGTGTGTTGAAACGGAGTTAAAACTAAAACGTGCTGGATACCGGCCCTCCAGGCCCAGAAGTAAATGCCCCTGCTTTATAGGCACAGAGAACTCCCATCAGGATCCTGGAGACGGCACAAGGAGATGACGACATGAGTGTGCCCTCCCAGATCACACCAACACCACCTGACCACATGGAGGCATGTGTCTGTAAGAAAGAAAAACTGGTGATGTATGAGATTAAACAAAAACTATGAACAAAATCAATTTTACAGTTGTTTAACCTGCTGAGCATTGTCTCCCCAAAGAGCTGCACGAAGGTGCAACTGGCTCAGAACCAGTGTGCTCCGTAATGCAGGTAGTCACCTCCTCCTGCTGACATCCGAGGATTGCCTACAACAAAGAGAAAACTGATATCAATAAGGAAATAATTAAATCAGAGCTAAAAGTTTAATTTTAGTGTGACGTTTCAGATTGTGGGAAATAAATGTGGACATTATGATTTTCAATTGTGGGGTCAGTACCTTGGGCGTTTCTCTGTAGCAACATTTTGTCTGGCTGACAATGAAGTAGAAAAGTCACCAGTTGAGGCAGAGTAAAGCTTGGTTTATGCTTGACGCATTCACTTTCCGCGCAGTGATGCGGCTCGCGGCTGGAACGCGCTTCACAACTCGCAGCGTTTATTGTTTGTGCGGCTCGTCTCTGCGGTGAGCCAATATTCTCCCAAACTGAACGGGGCAGCATGGAGCTCTACGGCATGCATCCAACACTACACCATAGTAGAAGTAGAAATCACTGTTTACAACATGGTATTTCAGCATTTTTAACAGCGTCCTCGTCTTTTCCGACAGTGCGAGCTATTTCTCTCCAAGAATTATTAACAACATGTTGATCACGGTGATCTCTGAGAGCTGAATCATACAAATGTCTGTATTTACGAACCTCTGCCGTGCCGGTCCGCCATGTTTTTCCACGTCCGACCGTCCGCGTGGTTAGAAATTTTCCGAGGTGCGCGTTGCGGAAATCTTGGGCCGTGCGGAGACGCGGTGGAGGGGCGTGGTTGTTAAAATGACGCAAAATGATGCAACTTTTCCGCGCGGAGCCGTGCGGACCTCGCGGACGCGTCAAGCATAAACCAACCTTTAGACTATATTACTCCAGCTAAGCTAAATGTAGCTAAACTAGACACTAGTCACCAGACTATGGTTACTATAGATTTACTAGAGAGTTACATCATATAATCCATTCGTTTCACTGAAAGAGGAGCAGGCAGAACTATGAACTTGTTTAGCCCGTCCAAGTAACATGGAATAAAAAATACATGTATCTGTATGTAAATTTAGTTTAAATGTTTTCCCACAATAGCTCATGTAGATTCTGTCTGAGTTATACCATAAAAGTCCTGCAGTTCCACTAAAAGAGTATTTACCTTGTAGCGTTGTGGTTTTATGCTCTTTTATGAAAGAGGAACCATGCTACGTATTAATTCGGAATATTAATTTTTAATATTCAATAACCAAATTTTATATTGTTCAGAAGACTCAAAGGTTGTTTTCATCGATAAACTGCCGATAATATCTGAGTGTCTGTGTTTCAGTTCAATGAGGAAACCAGTTTGACGATTAAAAGTTTTAATTCTTCAAATTAAACTAATGATTTTGAAAATTGACAAACAGTAAATAACAATCACCTTGGCAACTTTGTGGGACAATCTTTAACAGTTGATATGCTGTTCTTGCTCAACTAGACCTTCTGGTGAATTTATGAAGATTGAGAATGTTGTGAGTTGTGAGAGTGATATGATGTGATTATGGATGCGTGTGGGTGCAAAGTGTGGTGAGATGAGGTGAGATGGATGCGTGTGTGCATCTGATTTTGCTTCAGGAAGAAACAGGTGTCTGAGTGAAAAGTGATGGTTTGAATAAACTTAGGTTTAGTTGGAAAAAATGCATCCAAACGCTAAACACCGTGTGCTGTCTCACCGAACTCCTGTGGACCCTCTTTCGGATCCGGGCCTTGGAGGATGTTGTGGTTCATCCAGATGACACTCAACGGCTGACAGGAGACGTAGGTGTCGAACGGAACCGGTCCAGAGTTGCCCTCGGTACACGTTGATGGTAAAGCGTTTTGTCGACGCGCTTTCTTAAGTTAATTCACTAAGAAATCAACAGACTCGGTAATGAGTCTGCGTTAGAAGTCGCGATTCAGCTATTCTGCCTGGCTTGGCAGAAACAGCGTGAAAGGGGGGAAGAACGAGCCAACAGGCTCTGCCCCCCCTTTGGTTTTCAGGTCTGTTCTCTTTCGTTGTCCAACACGAACTGGAATCATAAGACTGAAACTTACCAAAAACCTTTCTCTTCTCAAAGCAAACGTGTGCGTCATCAAATGTGTCTGGAGTTTACTGTGGGAAGATGTGTGTGGGTGTGTGTGAATGTTTGTGTGCTGAAAGAGTGTGTGTGTGTGAAGGTCAGTAACAAACATTCTCAACATTATTTAAGAATGGATTCATTAATCCATTATAATTACCCAAAAGCATAAGAACCATTCATTTGATTAAACACATTTGTAATGAGCAAAATGATAATGGTTACTTTAACATTAAAATCAAGAAAAAGAAGTTTAAACTTTATGTTTTGACTTGGTCTGGGTACAACTCATGGAAACACGTCTTCTGGTAGACTGCAGGTGGCTGATGTTATGGTTTCCTTCCAGACTCGCTGGCGTTCAGGTCTTAATCTGTGGGTGAAAGTTCTCAATGACCCAGCTTTGACCCAGCTGAGTCCAGCACCACCATTGTGCCAGAAAACCCATATTTCCTCACGTTACAACCTGCAAAACAGCCTGTTAGCTCAGCTTTCTGCTGCTTCCTCTGTAGCAAGTTAGCTGTACACAGGTTAGCTCTAATAGCTGCAAAGTCTCTGATGTTCCACAGGTTCCTGAAAAATTAGCAAACTTATTAACATAAACTGCATTAATTTATTCCATGAAACCAGTAATGAAGATGAGTTTTTAATACGTCTCTATGGAACAATAGACCATTGTCCTGAGGCTAGCACAATGGCTTGCTTAGCAGCAAGCTAGTGAGCTAGCATCTGGTTAAAACCAACTTAAAAAGTGGCTTAACTTACAGATTAACTAAGAAAAGATAAAATATATTATCAATACTCACTTTAGATCCTCAGTAGACACCACAGACAGCAGAAATAACCTGTTTGGGGCTCAAAATTCATGTTGTTGACCAGGTGGAAAAAAAATGTCTTGGAGGCTACATCACTTCCAGGTCACTGAACTGTCACTCAAGAGAAACCACTGTCCTATGGGAGAGGACTTCTCAGAAGTCCCACCCACCCGAAAGGGTTGTGTCAGAATTGCAACCAAAAACTCAGGGATTGCAAAGGAGAAAGCCAGACAGTGTAAGTGAAAATCTGGTAGTGAGAGCAAAGCTCTGAGCAGCGAGAACAAAACTAAGGAAATTGATAACAAAAACACATAGAGGCAAACAGAAAAAGGAAACATACTTTGTTACTCATTTTAAGAAGTTGATTCAGATAGGAAGTTTTACTTTTGAAACATGTTTTTTTTCCTTTAGTCAATATTTTTGTTCTGTCAATTTCTTAATTTTTGTTTGACCGTCAAAGTGTTTTTCTTGATCATTTTAAGAATCTGATTCAGATCGTAAGTTTTTCTTTTGAAACGAATGTTTTTCTCTCAATGTCTTAAAATTTGTTTGCTCTCCAAAGTGTTTTTCTTGATCCTATTGGCACAAAACTAATCCCATAAAAGTCGGCTAAAAAAAGTGAAAAAGTCGCATAGTGTACGGCCGGCTTTAATCATATGATTGTGAAGTAAGCCACAGAGCTCTTCCTCTTGAGTAGGAGTGTGGTTATCGCTTTGGGTGCAGGAGATCCTGGCTTCAAATGCCAGGTGAGCCCATCTTTCAGTGCTAAAAAGTACTTGTTCTGAAGTCGCTTAAAATATTTGAACAGTAGGTTAGTGAAAGATCTCCACGTTTGCTAGTTGGTAATACCAGATGAAAAGGTCATCCCTGAGTTTCATGAATTTTGAAGACATATACAAGAGGGTCATTGGTCTAGGAGTATGATTCTCGCTTTGGGTGCGAGAGGTCCCGGGTTCAAATCCCGGACGAGCCCTACATAAACTCTTTGTTGAGATGTGTTCTTGCCAAGTATGAATAAGACATAAATGAAGTGGGAAAAAAATCTGACAAGTTGGGGTTTCCTTCACACACAGCCTATTATTCATTTGATAAATACCCAGGAAAAACATTCTCTTTCCGCCGACTCCCAATTATATTGAACCCACAGAACTTTAACATGAACAGTCGGTTAGTGAAAGATCTCCACGTTTGCTGGTAGATAATACCAGATGAAAAGGTCACCCTTGAGTTTCATTATTTTTGAAGTCTAAAACAAGAGGCTCGTTGGTCTAGGAGTATAGTTATCTCTTTGGGTGCAAGAAATACTGGGTTCAAATCCCAGACAAGCCCAGCTTTTATTGCTAAAAAGTACTTGTTCTAAAGTCACTTAATATAAATAATAAAGGTAAAATGAGGAGAATTATTTTTAACCATAGA